TTTGAGCCGGTTCAGAACTCCCGAGAGTGCCCTGACGCTCCCAGAGCCCAGCACTGCCTCACGGTGCGTAGCCTGGATCCGGGAGGCCCAGTGCCCTGGCCCGACCTCGGAGTGGGGGTGGGTCTGCAGGGGCACCTTTGTGAGGACACGGGGGTGCCTCCTTCGAGCCCTCCTCTCCTCTGCCCTACTTTCACTGTGGCCACTGTTACTGTCACCTTGGGGTGGAGAGCGGAGCTGAGCTTTGCCGGCCTTGAAAGCGTCCGGTTTCTGCCTTCAGCCGTTTCATCTGGTCTGTTTTTGCCCAGTTAACTTTCTTATTAATATTTTGACACAACTAGTATGTGCTTGATCTGGCCTCTCACGTATCTTTACGTTTAATTTTAAGGTCTATCAAACTGCGTACGATCAGTCCTTAGTTGTAAACTAAAGGAGGGGCTGGTCCTCTACTAGGAATGTTTATCCCGTTCACGCATTCACAGAAAATATGTGGCCTCACTGCCGAGTGAATGCTTTTACACTGATGCCACACGGAGTGTCTTGCCTGTCAGTGCACACGCACGCACGGTCCTCTCGCTCCCGCGTGTGCAGTGTTTCACGCGTTCACCCCCCGCCCGCAGGGAAACGGCGAAACAAGTCTGATGGGGGAGGTCCTCGGTTCCCTTATTGCCACACCCTGGTACCCTGTGGTTCATACTTGATTGGGAGGGATGCTGAGGGGTTGGGCTGACATCACCCTGAATGGAAGGCGAGAAGGTGGGTCTCCCTGAGTGTGGCTCAGAGCAGGGGCGTGTTCTCAGAGCCCTCCGGGGAGCCCCAGGTCCTGGCGCGCCCCGTGGCATCCCGCTGGCGCGCCCCGTGGCATCCCGCTGGCCCCTGCACAGCGGCTGAGGCTCCATGTTGCGCCAGGACCTCTTTGCTTCGGTTGGTCTGGAACTTCACTTCTACTTTATTTCAGATCTCCAGTCTCCCACGCCCGTTCAGAGACTTAATAATGTGACCTAGAATTTTGCATATCCCGGTTTCAACTACGCTCATACCGTAGCAGATTCTCTGTTTCTTAGGACCAGGGCTGTCCGTTCTGTGTGTCTCTGTGTGCACTGGAGGTCGCGGTGCCCACAGACTCTCGGTGTGTTTGGTGTGTACGTCCCTTCCTTCCGCTGATGGGCCGTCTGTACGGGCTGAGCTCTGGGGCCTCGCTGATGACCTGCCTTCCCCGAGTGGGGCACGCCTGTCCACTCCGTTTCAGCTCAGGGCCCGTCTCTTGTGTAAAACCTTCTCTGGCTGTTGAGACCAGGGACATCTGCTCCAGTGACATGATTCAGGAACCTGCCCTTAGCACTAGTGCCAGTCCCCACGGTGTCCTTGCCAGTCGTTGGCACTTTACAGGTGCCGTGACTGAGGCTCAGGGAGATCCACTGTGCCATTTGTCCAAGATCATAGAACTAGTAACTCTGTAGTTTAAGAATCAGCGTAACTCATACCTACCCTTACCCTGTGAAATGCGGTTGGCCATGCTGCTTCCCGATGGAGCCTAGAAAGAGGGATTGGAGAACTGGGGAGGCTGAGTGGGCGGGAGCCAGTTACTGAGGTACAGGAAACAGGAGGGAAGGCGAACTCGCAGCGTCTCTGCAGTCCCGGCTCAGGTGCGGGGCGGTTCTGCCGTCCACAGCTGCAATGCGGCGTCTCCTCCTCCCCAAGGAACCGTATGCTTGTCTGTTGGATTTGGTTTGGCTCCGGAAGGGGCGGGGTGGGAATGTTACCCACCATCGTACACTCCTTTAGAGGGGTTTGTGCTGAGGGTGAGGGAAGATCGTCTGTAGGCCACAGTGTGAAGCCCGGGACGGAGGTCCGAGCTCCTCGCAGAGAGACGGTTGCCCTCTGCGTGCACAGCGTTGGGAGTTCAGCCAGCAAGGACCTGGGTGCCATCCCTTGCCATCCACGGAGTGTCAGAAAGAGGTGGACGGGCGCCCGGATGGCTTACTCAGTGGGTGTCCAACTCTGTCTCAGCTCAGGTCTTGATCACGGGGCTGTAGGTTCAGGCCCCATGTCGGGCTCTGCACCCCAAAAGAGAGGTTCAGGATGTCACAGAAGGAAAACTCTGGGGGAAATTCAGATAAAACGGCATCTGTGCCATTTCCCATAGATGACGGTTTACAGGAAAAACTTTTGATTACTTTTGTAGAACTTCTCATTAAAATGACTTCTCATATTAAGACCCAAACACAAGCATCGGGCAGGCAGGGTGTGCGCAGGCCCTTTCGGGTGGCCGTGTCCCCAAGGAGCGCCGCAGGCCTGGGCCTGGCCCGGCCGGGGCCCGAGCACGACCCTCACAGCTCCCACAGGATAGTCGACGCGCAGTAGGCGGCACGCGGCCCAATGGGGGTCCTGCCCCATCACAGCCTCACGTTCGCCCGGTTCCCCTCACACATCTCCCTGCAGCGAGGGGAGGCCTGGCGGGACTGTGCGGTCAGGAGCGAGCCCGCGTGAGGCTCCTGCTGCCCGGCCAGCCTCGTGCTTGGCCGTGGCGCCCCTTCTCGACGCTCTTGACCATCCGCAGGGTCCGGGGGCTCCGGTTCGGTTTCCTTGTGTGACAGTGCGGGTCACGGTCGCCTTCTCGTGCACTCGACGGTCTGAAACAGCAGACGGCTCTTCCACTTGAATCCGAGTGGACCTTGGTGACAAAACCGTCGCTGCTTGGTTAGCAATGAAGTGAGCTGAAAATAACCGGTATCCATTACCGTACAGACCACGTCTGTAATTCTCAAAGTGGCAGGCCTGATGCGGTTTTGTCCATAAGTCACGTTACTGGGAAGTACTTTACTCATCGACCAGACGTCTAAGTTTTAAAATTCTCTAAGAACATTACTCAAAAGTGGGGGTAATTATGATTACTCTGTCAACTTACTGCTTGACGTTTGAGCTTCTAGAGATTCTTAACATTGAAAAGCAAGTTGTACGAACGCTTGACCGAGATACAGGACGCATGTAATCCTAGGCTTCTGCTTCCTGTGTGGCATTAGTCTTGGTCGAAGACACGTTTTCCTTGATCGTTTTCGCTATAAAAACAGAACTCGCCTGTGCTGTGGTTTTCCTTGAAGGTTACCCGCATTCTCTTGTTCACCAGCCTTGAGGGTAGGTGCCGTCTGCCCGGCATACTCCACCGACACTTGTTGGTGACACAGTAGTTCGTGAAACAGGTTCTTGCTGCTCGGTGACAGAAGCAGCGGTTTCCGGAGCGGTGCCCACGCTGTTGGAGAGAGCCCCTCGGGAGAACCCGGCGGTGCTGCTTGGGTGTCCAGTCCGCCCCAGGCCCAGCGGCACCCTGCGAGCTCCGGAACACTTCCTGTGCGCCCCCGACCAGGGCGGTCCTTGTGCCTGGGGTAGCGGAGGCCGACGTTTTCCGAAATAATGTGACCAGAGTCCACAGGAGAAAGTCCTGTTCCTCTTCAGCGTTTGGCCTCCGAGCCTGCAGAGCCAGCCGCGCCGGCCCCACAGGGAGCGCCCGCCCACCCTGTGCCCCCCCGCCCACCTGCCTCCGCCCCTGCGCACGGAGCCTCTCCCTTTCCTGCCCTCGTTCCGGGGGCCTGCCTGGCCACCGGCGCCTGAGTCACAGACGAGTCTAGGGAGATGCTGTTTTCCCTCCCGCAGACCCACACGCCTCCGGCTTCTCATCCCGCGGCCGCTCTGGGCGCCTCACCGCAGCCCCACAGCAAGCACACGCCGCGCCGCAGAGTCGCGCACACACACAAGCAGGGTGACCCGTGCTCATGCCCACCCCAGGCTTCACAGCCGGCCCGCCCCATGGCGCCCGGTGGCCCAGCTGGCCCAGGACCAGGCCGCCCGTGAGGCCAAGTGGCTGCGGTGTCCACGCGGTGCTGTCCCGCAGCGTCTGTCCTCCCTGATGGCGTGGCGGCCGGCCGGAGCGGGACGGTAAGGAGCCAAGACGCGCCAAGGTGCTGGTTTACAAGGTCCGTGCGCCTGCCAGTTAGAACTCTTCTTTCTCGCCCAGAGCTCTGAGGGTCTCTGAGGTGGGAGCTCACTGTGACTAGATTTCTCCTCGGACTCCCCTACAGACTCGACTCTCCCCGCTGACTCGGACTCCTCCGCGCTTCCTCTCCAGGGTGCGTTTCCTAGTGGGTAGACCCGTACGATTGCCGTTTTGGTCAAAACGGTCGACTGTCAGCAGCTTCCCCCCGTTGTGCAGGTGCCCCACATAGCACATCTGCTGTCCTCGCGACAAAATCGAATTAGCCACAGATTTTTTTCTAGAATTGGAAGCATGTCTGCATGGCCTTAGGTCTTTTAGCGAGAGGCAAGCTGGAGCTCTTACGGACGAAGGTGGGAGCAGGGCCGGCAGCCAGTGCCGCGGGGGCCGCAGGGGAGCCCCTTGTGCAGGCGTGTGTTGCTCCGATGGTGAAACCTGGGCTCTGCACTGCGCTTGCCCCGCCGACTCTGATCCCACCTCCTGCCGCTCTGCCCCAGTGCACCCCTGCTCGGGCCACGCCACCGTCTGAGGCCCCAGGGAGGTCCCTGCCCTGGCTCAGAAGCCTGGCGTTCTGAGGGGCCCAATCCTCCTCCCAGCATGTCATCGTCGCAGGGACGTGTCCTGTTCTCATGAAATGAGCAGAGGAAGGTCTCGATGCATTGCAAGTACCTGTTCGAGTGGGACGTCACCTGATGCCCTCAGCGCACGCACCATCTGTCCTGTGTGAGCAGGGCCACTTCCGCACACCCCCTTTCTCCTCCGGAGTTTGCCTCCACATGCTCCGCTGGGGGACCGGGAGGGCCCACGTACCGTTGCTTACGAACGTGGTGTGGGGCCTAGAAGGTTTGTTGGCTTAAGTGTCAACAAATCCATTTATTTTAAAGTCTGAAATCTAGTATTTCCTACTTAGTTCACATGAGGCTAAAGATAACGACGTGTGTAGGGAAAGCATGAGCTTGGATGTGTCGCGTGGGTTTGGGCCCCACTAACACCTCTGATGGGTTTTCCTCGACAGTTTGCGTGTGAACTTGGACATGGGCAAAGCCACGTACGGCTGGATGATCATGAAGGACGAGAGCATCCCCGGCACGGTCGTGCGGACCAGCACCATCCCCGAGGAGCTGGGGCGCCTGGTATACTTGCTCACGGACAAAACAGGTACCGCGGCTGCCTCACGCTGCCTTTGTGTGCACTCACCAGCGTCCAGTGCAGGCCACCCCGGGACGTGCGCGTGCGTGCGTGTGTGCGTGTGTGTGTGCACGTGGAGCGGTGCAGCGAAGTCGCTCCGACTCGGGTTCTCCTGACTCTGCTGACACCGGCACACGGCCAGCCCCCACCGTCCGGTAAGCACCGTGTCGCCACAGTTCGCACAACGTCGGATCTTACAGCTGTAAATGACGCACGTGTGCATTTTAATTCTCTGCTGCCCCCTTGTTGGATTCACTGCGGCTCCTGAGAGCAGACGCCGCTTGCCTGCGTGTTAAAGGACGAGGCCTCTGCGCCGGTGCAGGGGTGGAGCGAGACGTGTGCGCGTTTGGTGTTGCACAGTAGCGCTCGCCTGGAGGGCCTCACTGGCTCCCCACCCTCAGGTCCGTGACAAATTTTGTTTGTCCTTATTTCATTTTTCACTTGTTTCATGAGTGAATCCTTGTCGATCCGTAACATTCTGAGTAAAACCAAACCAGTGAACGTCCTAGCAACAGGCTGGAGCCTCCCTGACTTCTTCATCCGTGGCTTAAATGCCTGCTGATTCGTGGGCACCGGGGTGGCTCGGTCCGTTGCGTGTCGACGCTGGATTTCAGCTCAGGTCATGATCGCAGGGTCGTGAGGTTGAGCCCCGTGTCCGCTCAGCATGGGGTCTGGCTCTGCTCGTCCCTTTCTCACGTGTGCTCCCTCTCAGGTGAGCAGATGCGTCTTGAAGAGCACTTCCTGGCGACGTGTGGTGAGCTACACCTGAGAGAGTTTGTGTGACGGGAGGAGATGGGTCTCCGTGCAGTTCAACGTTATTTTTAATGAAGTGCTAGAAAAGCGTCACCACCGTCGGGAAACAAGTCCAACGACACTGTCACTTCACATGTTTCCCTCTGGCCGTTGCCGTACGACAAAAATCGCCACAAGCTCTGCGCCCGAGAGAAGGGGCGCGGATTCGCAGACGAAGAACGAACCGAGGCGATCACCTGCTGAGAGTCCGAGCCGGCCAAGCGGCAGGTCCCGGGTCAGAACCACAGGGCGGCTCCCTGCGTGTCGCGCAGCCCGAAAGGCAGAGGCCCCACTCACGGTGGCGCGAGGCGTGTGAGACGTGGGCATAGACGTGAGGGGAGGGAAGCGCGCGTGAGATGATCGGACCTGACGGAAGCGTGAGAGAGGACGTGAGCCACCGGAGGGACGGACCGCGGGCCCCGCACGACGATGCGGGTTTGCCCAGAGCCTGCCGTCATGATGAAGTGATGTACTACAGTTTACCCAGTATCCAGTTGCTGGTAGCATTTTGTTTTGTTTTTTGTTTTAATTTAAAGTGAGTTTTTAAAATTTCATTGACGTAATCTCGATTGCTGATGTGGGGTTTGAACCCACAACCCCGAGATCAGGTGTCATGCGCTCCACCGACGGAGCCAGCCGGGCACCCCAGCGGCATTTGGCTGTGGTCGGGGTTGGTCACTGTGGCACGTTGGGGACTGTCCGTGTCCCCACGAGGTGGTGAGGTGATGCTCCTGAGCCGGGAGAAGTCTGAAATTAGTGGGGGGCTCGGACTCGGGCAGGTAGACCGTGAAAACGCCTTCAGGTTTCTCCCTTCCCAGCCTCACTGAGCCGACAGGAAAAGATTCAGAGAAAAACCGTCTGACAGCGCGGGCGACAGCAGAAGCGCCTCCACAGAGGCAGGTTATTTCTGGGGCAGGTGGGACTGTTCTGTGGAGAAGCTGGAGCCAAGCAAACCCGAACTCCAAACAGTTCCTCAGGTGACCCCAGAGAAGAGAGTCCTGGAGAATCGGGGAGCCCAGCTGCACCGGCCTGCGCTCAGCAGCCCGGACCGTGGGCGCCAGCAGCGGGCGACGAGCGGAGGCGCGCAGCATGAGCAAGCCCGCCGCACCCGGGAGCGCACGAGTGCGCGCTCGCTCTGAAGCCCGGAGGAGCCCTGAGGAGAGCCCCGGGTCACAGGGTCTCCGTCACGCCTCTGAAGTCAGGGTCAGGATTAAACCGTGTTTCCACCCAGCAGCAACCGTGCAGGCACTTACTTCCAAAAAGGCCATTTAGAGTCGCAGCGAAATGTGTCATCGTTGGACGTAAGTGCACGCGGAATGTGCGTGAGGCTGTGCGAACGCGCGTCTTCCGGTTTGAGGACCTGCAGCTTTGCTGAGTGACGGGATGGCATCTCCGTGCGGCACCCCGCGTGGACAGGTCCCCCCTGAGGCGCACACCGCCCAGGACCTTGTCTGCCCCGTCTCTGGCAGTGTTCGCCGGCGGCCTCGGCCCATGGGGCCCCTCCCCGGCTCCCGTACGGGCGCGTCCGAGCGGGAGACCAACACACGGACGTTCACGGCATCGTCTCAGACAACGCGACCCGACAGAACGTAACATCAGAAACGCGATTATCAGTCCAACACGTCAGTCGCGGAACGGTCCGTGACGATGTCACAGTTTGATGTGGAGCCACAATGTCTGGGGCTGTCCCGCCTCGGAGGCCTGTGCCGCCTTCCTGCCCCCATTCAGGCTGCGCGGCGCGCTTGTCTGCGAGCAGGCGCCGTCGGCCGTCCTGTGTGCACCGGACGGCCACCGGACGGCCACTGAAGTCTGCACGTAACACGCCCGTGTGACGCCTGCTCTCACGTCATTTCACAAACAGGAGGTGTAGATCGCTGAGCGCACAGTGCCCGTGAGGACAGGTCTGTCTCCTGTCCCCGTGTCTCTCGGTGTGCGATGCCAGTGAGGGAGGGAGGACTCGTGACGTTATTTCTCCAGAGAATGCCGCCTTTGCATTTTGCACTTTAAGTGGTGATGGGACCATCCTCCTCTAGCTCCCCCGCGTCTCTCTGAATTCTGGGTTCCATCAGGGATGGGGAGAGTGGTTTTGCCCAGAGTCATAAAGTAAAGCCCATTTTCTCCATGTCTCACTCTGCTGTTTCAACAAAGCAAAAATAATCTGGGTTTCTGAGATTTAAAAAGAATTACAGAAAATTAATATAAAATATGTGAGTGAGAGAAAATCTTACGCATTTCTTTTTCCAAAAGGCCTTTTTGTGCCAGAGGTCATTGGAGGGACCTCCTGTCACCACTTCCTAGTGTTGGAGCCACATGGAGTCTTAAATGTTTTTAGTATTTTTAAAAATTTTTGGCCTAGAACTTTTTCAGAACCTTTCTCAGTAAAATCACAAGGTGAACGCTGCTTCCCGAGCGCGCCCGGGCACCCCGCACCATGACAGGCCTGTGTGTCCTCGGCCTGGGCTGTGCGGCGGCGGGCACCGTGTCTGCGGGTCGGCTGCCGCCTCCCAAGGAGCACTCCGGAGGGCGTGTTGGCGGGGTGGCTGTAAAGGCCACACTGGCCGAGTCCCGAGTGAAGGACATCGAGGACGAGTTGCGTAGTTGTCAGGAGGACTCAGTGCCGTCCTGCTAACGACTGTCAGAACCAGCTTCTCGCGCAGTCAGACGGAGCCAGCACGCCCGGGCTGAGCCCCCACCTCTGAGCAGCGTGTGGCCTCGAGCAAATCCCCGAGCCCCCGAGCGGCCGTGGGTGGTCCCGGGAGGCCCGCGTGGCCGGTGCTTCACAGTAGGCCGTGATGGCCACGCTCGCGCTCAACTGCCCTCCGCCGGGAGGGGCCCGGTGCAGCCGTGGATCCGGGGCCCACTGGGAAGCGTCGTCTCCTAGGAACTGCGCTCACTGTGCTCTCGCTTTTATTCCTTATTTTTGTCACGTGAAGAATCCGGTCCTCTGCTGTCCCCCAGGGTGCCCCTCCACGGTTGGTCAGGGTTCGGCAGTCTCCGTGGTGGGCTCCACGTCACGGAGGGTATGCCCGTGGGTGGGGTAGAGGGGAGAGAACTCGGGGCGGGAGACCGTCGGCAGACGCCACCTGCTGCAGCGGTTACGGACGAGCCGTTGGGTGGGGAGCCTTCCACGGAGGGCAGAACCGTGAGGCGGCCCTTGGTGGGATGGTGACCAGGCTGTGCCCCACCAGTGCGCTCTCTGGCAGGAAGCGTCCATCACGCTGCCTCGCGCTTGCCCAGCAGAAGAGAAGATGAGGTGTGCGTGCCGGCATAGAGTTCCCTTCTCGTGCACAAGAGAGCAGTGTGGTGTGATCAGGTTTGTTGGGTGCAGGTTTCCGGGAAGATCTGAAGTTAATGACGTCGCAGTAGTGACACGTGTGTGGCCAGCGGTGCGTGAGACGTGAGTCGTTCCCCCGACAAGAGCAGACATCTGTTGGCTACGGGGCCCAGAGTGGTGGACGCTGACCAGGACCGTGGACGCGCTGCGACGGTGTGCGGGGACAGGCCGTCTGTCCCGGGTCGGCGGGGGAGCCTGCTGCTCGCACAGGCCGCCCGTGACAACGACATGCTTGGAGAGCCGGACTGCGGAGAACTCATGAATTTTAAAACTGAACTCCGCAGCCTGTAACAGGAGCCATGCATTCCTTTGTCAGGGATGTTTATGTTCTCGCAGAACAAAGTGTGCCGGACCACACCCTGGAGCAGCAGGGTGTTCAGGGCACGCACTGTGACTGTCGTGCCCTTTCCTGGGCTCTGCCCAGCCGTTTGCTCCCGGGTTGCGACGGCCTCTGAGGCCTCCCCCTCTGCACCGGGACGTGCTGTGTCCGCGGCGGCACATCTCTCCCGGGGTGAGCTGCGGCGGGCTCTGGGGTCTTGTGCGTGGGGGACGCAGCTGCTCCTGCCTGAGCACAGCAGCTGGGCCTCGGGTGCGGACACGCTCGCAGGGTCGGGCTGGTGTAGCCCTTGACCGGGGCATGCGCTTGGTGTGTGCGGGGCCGTTCACACTGCAGAGACACTTGACGCAGGCAGTGGCTGAACAGACGCCCGTCGTACGGGAATCGCCGCCTTCTGAGAAAGCCTCCTTTACAGCACGTGGAGCGCAGGGCTCCAAACTGAGCGGCGGCCGCACTCGGAAGACTCCTCGCGCACCCCACAGCTGTGTTTCCGTTCCTCATTCCTTC